TTTTTTTTGTTGATGGTGGCCAATAATCTTTATCATTTCTTTAACATGGCATATCAACAATTGGTCTGTGATGATGATCATCATCATATTATCATCAATTTTTTTTTGGGAGGGGGGCACTTGACACCATTTTATGTCTATCGATGCCACTCTCTTTGTTGTCGATGATGATAATGGAAAATAGAGAAAAAGAAGAAATTTCATTTTCCATTCGCTTTGTCTTGTTATTTTTTTCTGGCTTTATTCGTTTACCCCGAATAACAACGAATGATAATATCGGTCACGAATCTTATGATGATTTTTCTTTTCTTTTTTCGTTGAATCTAAACATTGACAAGACATGATCACTATCGATTCAGATTGTTTTGTGTGAGCCATTTTTTTTGTTGGGATTGTCGAAATAGAAATTTTATATTTTTAGCCTCTCGAATATTGTTCATTTATTCATTCAGGTTTTCGCCAATAATGATGATGATTGTATGTAAAAAAAGAAAAATAAGAGAATAACGGTTATAACGGATATTGTATTTTTTCTGGTTAAACAATTGAAATATCATCAAAGATTCATCAACTTTAGTTTATTTATCATCATTATCATCATCATCTTTTAGACCAAATTGTTTGATTCAAATACAATTTCAGAACAAAAAATTACTGAAATTGCAAGAGAGATATCCATAAATAGAATGCTTTCGATAGATAACCACAGTTAAATTTACTTTACATTTTTCTTCTAACCTTTTGACTTTTGAAAATTTAAGGTCTATTAATAAAATGAATAACATCATTCAAAAAAAAAGTATTTTGACTATTTTGATTATCTTTGACTTTTGTTTTAAATCAAATAAATGGCAACCCTTAAATTATGACGACCTATTACCGACAAACCATTATTGTAATTTTCGAAAAAAAATCATGAAACTGAATTATATTAAATTACGAAAAACAATCCCAAAAAAACGATCAAAGCCAATCCTTCTAAAAACCCCAAATGATTTCAATCAATTTGACTGATGAATGAATGAATGAAAGAAAATTTATGACCAAATCGATGCCAATGGTCTAGGTTGTTGTTTAACTATAATCATCATCAAATATCATCAATAATTGGTTACCTATTCTCGTGATCCATATATAGAAATCGAAAAAAAATATTTATAAATTTTGTTAGTGATAAAGATAACGGTGAAACCAAATAGAAATGGTTCGCCCGTCATAATCATCATCAACATCATTATCGTTGACACCACACCACACACACGGCCAAGAACGAAACGAAGGCAAAATTTCAAAGCTCAACGTTCTCTTTTTTTTTGATTCGAAATTTCCACTACTTTCTTAGCTTTTCTTGATTTAAAATCTTTATAAAATTTATTTTTATTTTCTTCAAAAGTTTCTTTTCATTTCATTTCATTTCTCTTCTTCGACATAAAAATTTCACATTCTCTTTTTATTTCTATTTTTTTTACCGAAAAAATAATTATTATGATTCGACAACGATATATAAATATATATGGATGGATGGATGAATGAATGGCGTATGAAGAACAAGATGATGATGATGATGAAGTTACATGACCTCGAACTAGGTCACTAGCGTTATCATATGCATTTACTAAATTTTTTTCGGGCTGTGTTTGTATATGAAATGAATGAATGATTAGTAATATACATTGAAAGGCAATCATCGTTTATCATGTAACATTTTTTATTCTTTCGGAAAAAATTTACATTGTTTTTTTCTAAATATCAATTTGGATTAAATTCTATTCTGGAATCCAAAAGAATCGTAGAGATACATTGGATTTTTGTATGATGAACTGAGATAGAGAAAAATAATACTTGAAAAATATTCAATTTTTTTTCTGCAAATAAATATTGATTATATGATGATTATTATCGGTGTTGTTGATAATCACCACCATCATCATCATTTTTGGCTTTTCTCGAGACTAATGATGATAATGATACCTAAAAATAACAAAATCACATCGAAGTAAAAAAAAATACTTTGCCCTACATTTTATTATTTATATTTATAAATTTTCTTTTTCAAAAAAATTCTCTTCATCTCTTTCGTTTCTCTTTACTCGATTTTTTTCTTGAAGTAATCTCTCCTTTTCTCTGTGCTTTTCTCATCTTACTGTTTTTTTTTGTTCGTTTTTCTACGTTCATTCATTGAATTTTTCCCTAATGGCGAAAATCTTTTTTATTTCTGAATACGAAAAATTCCATTTCATTTGGATGAGGAATAGAAAGGCAAGTGAAAAAGCACCAAAAAAAAAAATTCATCTTCGTCGTAGTTCCAGGTCAATATGACCCAATTTTTTTTCGATTCATTTTTGGTATTGACGTAAACTCGGATTCCCGATTTTTAAAAAAATCACCGCCTCACTATCATTCATATATATAAAACAGACAGAATCCGGAAAAATGTTTGCCGAAATAGAATCTCTGATAATGATAATAATCGATAGAATCAAAGTTTTTATAAAGATTCTATATTGAATTGTTCAAGTGTTTAACAGAAAAAAAAAGAAGAAAAATTGCAATATATCGGTGTCGTGTGTGCGTCCTTGTAAGATAATGGAAGTAGTAGTTGATGATGGTGGATCATTTCGGATTGATATTGCAAGTCCAAGTGTGTGTGTGCCTGTGTATACGCGATCGATGTTGCAATGGCGTTCGTTGAACTCATTGGCCGTTGACCTTCACAATAGTTGCAGCTTCGTTGATGCCGCTGCGGCTGCTACCATTGCTTGTGATCATCATCATCGGTTTATTTTCGGTTGCATCTTGGTTGATCATTTCTTTTTTACCATTAATTTTCAATTCGTTAAAGTTATGGCAACAACACTTGTTCGTTGCCGTCGTTAATTGCATGCACTTGACTCTCATACAATGCCACCATACTACCATCAACAACAGTATCATTTGATGTAGTAATATCATTTAAAGTAAAGAGAATAGAGGGGAGAAAAAATGTTCCAGAAAAAACAACAACCTAATAGACCAATGTTGTGGTAGTGGGATAATTTTTTTTACATCATATCATATTATAAATCATATGCTACTATCATATATCGGCCACAACCACCATCAACACAACAGCAAAAAAAATCTCTTTTCTCTTTTCTTCATGATTCAAAAAAACATCGATCTTTTTCTCTTTGATTCGATTTGATGATTGCAAACTATTTTTTCCCCTTTGCTATTTTATTTCTTTTTTGCTATCAAAATTACTAAAAGAAAAAAAAACAAATCCAGAAATGAAATATTTTTCTTATTTTCCATTCCTATCTTGCTTGTTGCTCTTGCACAGCTACTTGCTACTTATTATTATTATTTTCGGATTAATGATGATTAGTGATGCGGTCGAATGTTTTTGAATTGATCACACATCCTTCAATATCAATCAATCGACAAAAATGTTATTAATCTAATCAAAACATAATCATCATCATCATCAATGAAAACAAAAATACCGTAATTCTCCGCTGTTAATTTTCATTTTTCTTCAATACGAAAAACGTGTATAATCTTTATGGATCTCTATATCATCTCATTTTTTTCTCTTTCTATCTCTACAAATTCTAAACCTTTAAATAATCAACCTTTAACCGACAATAAAAAAATAAAAGCATTTTGAACTTTTCTCTTAATCTTTATCTTGCCAAATAAGAAATATTATTATCTACCTGACCCGTTGTGTTCATCATCATCATCATCATTTAGTATTGTGTAGTTGGCGGTGGTAGAAATTCGGTTTTTCTTTTTCTTTCAAAAAAAAAAAAAAATTACCGCGCTCCAAGATATTTTCATCAACATACTGGTTAATGCTTCTACCATTCTTGAAAAATAGTACCGTTTTTCTCTGGTTTCTTCACTGATATGTATCGTCTCTTTATTCAGGGTCTTTAAAGTTTTTTTTGCCCATATCTCATCTGAAGATTGCGGACTATATACATACACACTTCATGTAATAAAATTTGCAAAGAGAAGAACAGCAACAACAACAGCAGCTACCATAATCATCTATATATCTTAATATGCAACCAGAGAGATGTGGTCGTTCCTTTTTTTATTATTAGTTTTTTCTGGGACGATAATAAATATATATCGCCTACTACACATGATGTGATATAGTCGTTTTTTTGTTGGTTGTTGTTGTTGTTGTTTGGCTGGCTGGTTGGTTGGTTGGTTGTTCGGTGTATGTGTTTTTAGTTTGGTTCTATTCGGTTTTTTTTTGGTTCATTCATTTCATCCATTCATCGAGCATTCACCACCACCATTTCAAAAACACTACGGCATTCATATTTCGGCTGTTCGACAGTCAACACTACCATCATCATTTATTATCGTCGTCGATATATTGTGTAGTCTTCATGATCATCATATTAAACATACAATGTGTGTGTGTGTGTGTTTGTGATACCAGTGTATAATCAGCATGAATTTGGAATATTTTTTTCACCTTAAAGTATTGAATTGATTTTCTTATCAAATATGATTGAAATAATGATTGAATTTTGACCACAATTTTCATCTATTTATCTTTATTTTTCAAACAAAGTTACTATACAATTCAATATCAGAAGTTTTGGTTTTGAAAAAAATCATCAGCCAATCAGCATCAAATCAATGAAACATGAATGTGATTTAAAAAAATTCAATTTTACAAAAATTTGGAATTAATTCATATCCAACCAATAATGTTTTTTGTTCAATTTTATTTCATCAAAAAAACCATGAATGAATGAAAAACTATCGATTGACAAAAGAAAAACAAAGTGCGCAAGTTCGGTGACCTTATACTTGGTGAATTGGAAAATTTCATCATCCTATTTTTTTTACCAATTCTTCTTCTTGAATCGGTTGTGTTTGTGTGTGCTGGTCAATGTTACCATGACACAATATGAATATATATTGTGTCATCGTGTGTGTTGTCCATTTTATTTATTCAAATTAAAAAATGTTTCATATTGAAAAAGGCAATCATAACTGAACTTTGAACAAATATTCTGATTCTATATTCTGAGATAATATTTTGTTGATTTCGCTGTGAAAAATTGTTCATTGTTTTCCAAGAGGAAAAAATAACTCCAAATCAACTACAATAATGTCGTTATTTCATTCATATAAATTGAAACGACGAAAAGTCGAAGAAGAATTAAAGGCTGCGGCAGCAGCTGCAGCCGCAGCTGCCGCTGCTGCAGCTACATTAACTTCCGGTGATCAAATGAAATCTATTTCATCCGATGATCAGACGTCGATGGCGACAACAACAACAGTGAACAACAACAATGATTTAGTTGATGATACTGTTGAAAATAAAATTGTCGATTCGATAAAAACAACAACGGCGGCGACAACTACATCATCATCGATAACCACAACAATGACCACCGCAACAACAACAGTCACAATGAATGGTACAATAAATGGAACAACAATGATGACTTCAACGACGACAAAAATGTTATCATTAACTGAAAATCCGGAATCAATAGAATCATCGACATTATCGTCTGCCTCTTCACCACCACCACCTTCTTCATCCTCGATGACCAATAATTCATCATCATCACCATTATCATCAGGGTCTTTAGCCGATGATGATCCATTAATAATAGTTGATCGTCATCATAATCATTCACCATCATCATCACCACCACAATTATCGACAACATCAATTATACAATGTGATCATCATTCAACGGCGATGCTATCATCATTGATGAATAAAGCAACTGTCACAACAAAATCAAGTGATTCAATTGATTCAGCGACCGGTTCATTGTCATCTGGATCAACATCATCGTCGTTATCATCATCATCATCATCATCGTCTTCGTCATCATCTGGTAATGGTAGTGAACATGAACAATGTTTAGATTTATCCAAACCAAGATCTTTACCACAATCAACGACTTCATCGGTGACGCCAAACATGACAACAACTGCTACAACGACAACAACAATTAATCGACCATTATTAATGGTTGCAACCACTGTAGCAAATGATTCTAATACGACAACGACAACATCAACATCATCGAATATTGGCCACACACATGGTTCTTTATTACATCATACGTTGAATGGTTTTATTAGTTCATCATCCTCATCATCAGCTTCTTCACCGCCATCAAATGTGGGTGGGGCAGCATCACCAATGGAACATCAGTCACATTCAACTTCGTCATCATCCGCATCGTCACCATCATCTGGTAATGGAAGCGGTAGCCTAGAATCATTAGGTATTAATGGTGGTTTGGCAGCCGTTTGTATAGGCGAATCATCGCCATCGGCTTGTTCATTATCGAGTGGATCATCACCACCACAATCCTCATCAACATCGTCGCTGTCCACTTCAGCATCATCGTCGTCCATAGTCAAATCTTCAAATTCTTCAATGATGATGGTCGGTGGTCAATCGTCACAGATTTCAAAATCTGGAAATAATAATAATAACAATAATACAAATGTTAGTACGGCATCGATTGGTTCTTTGATATTATCATCAGCTTTGTTAAATGGTGGAATGTCTGCAGCGGCAGCAGCAGCAGCTGCCGCAATTGCTGCACAAGCTGCCGCTGCTCAACAACAACAACAACAAGAATCACAAAAATCAGCGGCGGCAACCATCCCTGGTACTGCATCATTACCATCAGCGGCAAATGGTACATCATCATCGTTAACATTTTCCGGTTCAAATTCGGCAACTACAACGACAACTACTGCCACCGCCGTTGTTGCTGCAGCTCAACAATTAGGTCCACATCATGGATTTCCTTTATCACATTATCAACAACAGCAACAATTACGATTAGATCCAGTTGCTGCAGCTGCTGCAGCTGCTCAACAGCAACAGAATCAACCACAACCTGGTGATAATCAACAAATGATCTGTATGATATGTGAAGATCGAGCAACCGGATTACATTATGGAATCATTACCTGTGAAGGTTGTAAAGGATTCTTTAAACGTACTGTACAAAATAAACGAGTTTATACTTGTGTTGCCGATGGCCAATGTTTAATTACTAAACAACAACGTAATCGATGTCAATATTGCCGATTTCAGAAATGTCTGAGGCAAGGTATGGTTTTAGCTGCCGTACGAGAAGATCGTATGCCTGGTGGTCGTAATTCAGGTGCCGTTTATAATCTGTACAAAGTTAAATATCGAAAACATAAGAAACCGGGTTCAAATAATTCGTCTAGTTCGTCACCGGTCGGAACAAATACTGCCACATCATTAGCCATATCATCATCACAGCCAAATAGTCCAATGATGGTCTCAGCAAATGGTACAACAACGACCATAACGCCCACAACACCGCCAATCAATATGATGATGAATGGAAATGGTTCACCATTAATATCCAATAATCACACTGCCAATCATACAAATCCGTTTGCAACATTAAATGGACATCATGGTAGCCATATTAATCATCATCAACCTCAACATCATCATCAAAGTTCCTTGATGAATGGTCATCATAATCATAATCATAATAGTGGGGGTTTAACGCCAATTCCTCGATTAAATGGTACAACAAATTCATCATCATCATCATCATCACCACCACCATCTGGTATATTGAAAACTGTTTTAACAATGCCACATCGTCTTCATAATCATCAACATTCGACATCGCCAACGACAGCAACTACATCATCATCAACAACATCATTATCATATGTAAATGGTAAAAATAGTAATAGTGATGTGTCTCTTTATCGTCATCTTAATGGATCATCATCAACATCATCATCATCCACAACGACGACAACAACATCATCGACCATCGGATCGAATTCAGCATTTAATTTAATCAATAACAACAATAATAATTCATCATCAACCAATCATTCACATCTAGCACAAGCTGCGGCTGCTGCAGCTGCAGCCAGTATATTTCCTGTGTTGATCGTAAACGGATTCCTAAATAATGGTGGTAATCAAGTTTTAACATCGATTGCACGACAAATGCATCTAATATTAGCTAATGCATCTTCAGCCAATGATGGTAATAATGGTGAATGTTTAATGTCACGTGATGAAAGTGATCAATATTTATCCGCTTTGATTGATTGTGATGATTTTGCCGAATTCGGGTAAGAAATAATAATCAATTTTAATGATTTAACTTGATTTTATTTGATTGATTAAATTGTTTAGATCTTTATCCGCATTGGAATTAACGGAAACATCGACAGCGTCGAATAGCAATGAATTAAGTGATCGATTGTAAGTAACATTGTTTTCTAATCCTTTTCCAATGTTCAAAACTTTATAGAATCCAATAATTGTGCTTAGCTTATTTTTATTATTTTCAATCTTATATGATGATATTCTTTTCGAGGTTAAAGTACGCTCACGATAATGACATTAACCTTTGCTGTAGTAGTGGTAGTGGTACTCATAAGTTGAAATCAAATCAAATTCCTTCCTAATGTTATGATTTTTCATATTAAAGAAAAATTATGATGATCTTTATTGACATCGACGAATTTCATCATAATAATTGATGTTCTGTTTTGTTTACATAATGTTAAATTTTTATAAGTGTGTGTTGATATATAATTTATAAGTGGTCTATCCTTGACATGACCTTAGCCCTTGTTTCGAAATAGAAAGAGAGTTCATCGTTCAATTGGTAGGTTTTATGTCATGACTATATCGTTTTCATATCAAGTAATGTCATCCATATTACACAAACACACAAGTTATTTCTAATTGGAATAAAAAGAATCAAGGCTAATGACCTTTTTTCTATTGAAAATCAACTATAAATAATGTAATTCATAAAGAAATCCTTTATTGATTTGGATTCTTGAATAATGATTTTCCAAAAATTCATTCAATCAATTCAATGATTTTACATTTATCATAAAATGATGATGATGATGATCATTGCCCTTTTGTTTGTTCGATTCATATTCTGATTCATAAGAAAATATAGAAATGAAAATCTCTTTTTCTCATTGAAATGTCTTTGAACTGATAATAACAAATATGGTCATCATCATCATCATCATCATCATCACTATCAAACCAAAACATATATAAACGAATCAATTATGAAAAAAGGCAATTCAACTTTGCCTTTCAGTTAGGGAACATTACCCTCTAAATAAAATGTTTGTGATCATATTTTTTTTATGGGGAAGCTAGGAAAGAAAACAATGTAATTTGAAAAGACTATGCTATTTGTTTTCTATCGTCTAGGTTTTTACTATATAATCTCTATGCAATGTTGTCGCCGTTGTTTTGGACATTGTGGTATACTTGTCGTCATGACTCCTTCTCACACTACTTGACTTGAAACGCCATCATCATCATATTATCCATATCCGTATATATAGATATCTAAAATCCAAAATAAAATACCCAATTTGCAATTGATTACAAATTTATATTTATAGCAACATCATTTGGTAGTGACAGTAGTGGTAGGATGATATATTTATAGGCGTAAGAATTGTACATGACGCCCATTTATTTTTTGAATTCAAGTATTGCTACTACTTTGATTCAATGTTGCATTCTATTTTTCTAATAATCATTATGGTCGAGATTTTTTTTGATACATTGTATCAACCAATTTAATTTTTTTTTCTGGTTATTTCATAATGTTTGCCATCATCATCGTCATGATGATGTTGATTGAATGATTTATATTGAATGTCACTTCCTTATTCAAATTTTTTTCTATAACGTTTTTTTTTTGAAAAAATTTTCCATAAGAATTCCATTTTTGGAAAGAGGGAGCAATTGATGTTTTCGGAATATTTCGCTTTTTTATTATATTGTTGCTTTAAAAAGAATCGTTTGTTGATTCGATTGAATGAATGAATTAAACAAATGATTCGCTCATTGACCTTTAGAAATTATAAAAATCTATATAGAAAAATAGAATGACTTTACACTGACTGGTACCGGGTAAAAAAAACCAAAAATGGATTCGGATTAGTAAAAAAAAACAACAAGGCCATGACCTTAGTTCTTAGTTTTGGAATATTTTTCATCAACGTTCATAACCTTTGACCTTTGATGATATAATTTTTCCACGAATTGTAATGTTCGTTGACCTTTTCGTTTTAGTTTGTCTTTGGTTAGAAAAAAATTTCATTTTTTCTGGTCATTTACAATATTGTTAATGATATCGTCATACTAAAATGTAACAAATTAAAAGAGTGAACAACTCATCACATTAATTGATTGATTGAGGATTCCTTTTTGATGTTGACAATGATGAATTTAATCTATCCTCTTTTTATTCATGAATTAATATATTCTCTGGTGTTAAACAATCATTTAAAGGTCTTTTTTTACTGGCCATCATCATCATTATCATTATATAGTGAAAGACCTAAGTGTGGTGATGGTCATTAGTCACTTTTTTCGTGTCAGTAGTTGTTATTATTTACAGGTATGTAGGTCAGTGAGCTATGTTCATGATAATAATGATGATGTTGTTGATGTGGACAATCAATCTCTCTCTCTCTCTCTCTCTCACTATGTAAGGCCTATTTTTTCTTAAATGTTATTAGAAAAACCAAAAGAGAAAAAGGTTCATCAAAATAACATACTCACACAATTTAGTCTAGTAACCTAAAGACTAACCTGGTGAAAATTCAACCTGATATTCACATTTCAAACGAACAAGAGGAAAAAAACTTGTTTTCAACCTGTTTTTTACAGAGTGATGAGAAAATTTTTGAAAAACTACTACTTATCATTCTTCTTTATCTTTTTTTGTCTTTCAACAAAAAATCACCTGATTTGATTACAAGGTGATTAGAAAATTTAGAAAAGAAAAACATCTTTCTGGTTTGTTGGGCGCCATCATAATAACAGAGAATGACATCAACAAAAAAAAACTAGAATGATTTCTCTCTTACTTTCTGGGTTGGTTGTTTTGTTTCTATCTTGAGGGGACAACCAAAAATTCTATTTTTAAACATATTTTTCGCCATTGTTGATGATGAAGATCAATTGTGTAATAAGTCTTTTCTTCTATTTCGGTCAAATCAAATAATCGAAAATGAAAAAAAGAACAATGTGTGTTGATGGTGGTGTGATTCTATTTCACTCATTCGTGACCCTAATAACAAGATCAAAGGTGTTTTATTTTTGTATTATCTTTAAGAAAATCAAAAATCGAAACCCAGAAAAAAGAAGGTTGAAAAATTTTGAAATTTAAAGAATTTTTTCTTTTTCTTTTTTTTTTGTTGCAATCTTTTTGTTTTTTCTGGTTTCTTTGTTTTTCTTTAGAAAAATATACCTGTTGCTGTTATTGTTGATTTTGTCATATTTTTTTGGGTTCGATGTTCTTTAAATAGCACATGGACAATTAATTATTGCCTTCATCATCATCATCATTTGTCGATCTGTGATTGTCATTTTTTCTAATGAGACTTTTTTTTGTTTCTTTCCTCTCCATCCACAAAAATTTAACAAATCATCTAATCTAATGATGATATTAAGATTTTAAAAAAGTCAAAATATTGTTATTTTTATTTGTTTGATATAACTAAGAAAAAACAATATTAATGTTGTCGTATTTGTGTATATGAAAACCCTACGCTGTATTCAATTCGACATTGATTGATTGATTATCATCACATTTGGCAGAAATTTTTTTTCTGGTAGCAATGATAGTCATGATAAGCACAATTATTAATTAATAATGACAATGATAATGATGATGAACAAATTGAACCCGGAAATTCCGCATCCAATTACTGATAATTTTCTTTGTGGATGAAATTGAAAATTTTCAATGTTAATGATCAATATATTCGATATTTCAATTTTAATTTTTAAAAAATTTCTGGATTCTTCCTTTTGGATATAATCCAAAATTCTCACTGTATCTAAATATGAATATTCTATTTGTGTTAGATTCTGTTAATATTTTTCTTCAACAAGAATCTCTTCCTAGAATGCGCTGGCGCTTATTTTATTGTAATTTTTTTTTCTTCCTTTTTGATTTGATTTCTTTGGATCTAATCTTTTTTTTTGTGTGTTATCATCATGCACTTTAATAACCACTACTTTTTATCATCATTTTATGCTATATAACAGTAGTGTATTTCTGGTTGTTCAGAATCGTTATTATTATTATTAATATATTAAATGCCTGAATAAACATGGTATTGGGCGAACAATAAACACCGAAAAGAAAAAATGAGAACAAGGAGACATTGAACTTTGGCGGCGACGGCAATGATGATGATGATCATTATTATCATTTAATGCCGGTTCGTTTTTTCCCCGTTTCCAATGGCACCCAAATGCCTTTCTTTATTATTGTCGCTGCTGTTTCTGATGATTCTCTGTTTAGCTTCAATGTTTCTTTTTTTTCCGTCGGATTTTGTTTTGTTTTTTGTTTCAAAATCTGAAAGTGTTATATAGTAAAAACTTTTACAAAATTTCTAACCATCTTTTGTTTTTTTCTCCTTAATTTAGATGTTCAATCGGTGATTCAATCGTATATCGATTAGTACAATGGACCAAACGTTTACCATTCTATGAACAATTACCCGTTCATACACATACACAGGTAAGTGTTTTCAGTCAATCATATTAACAGGATAAACAGAAGAAAAAATACATACAAAAACCAAAGAATCTTTTATCATTCGATTCTTCCTGTTTCGATTATATTTCCTATTTTTTCATTAATCATACTGTGTATAGTTGTGCGTGTGTGTGTCCTTGATAGATTCTAAAGTAGTAAAGAGAATTTGATTTTCAGAAATGATCCAGGAATAGATTCACCGTAGATTCATATATAATTGCTTGAAATTCTTTTCTTTTGTATTTATTCGGCCTAGGACAAGACGCCAATATAGTAATGCGCGCTTCAAAAACTATCCATTTTATTATTGTTAACTGTATGTGTATGCTTTTTATTTACATTCAACGTCATCATGATCATTTTATCCATCCATCCATCCATTTTATCATACAAAAATGTATATGCAATGTTTTTTTCTTTACTATTTCTGAATCTAGGTCAACAGATTTGTACAACACACACATTGTGTATATGTTGTTTTCGTCATATCAAATCATCGTTGTTGTTGTTGAGTTTGATGAACTCTGTATGTTTGCTTCATAATGTTTGTATGGTTTGATGGTGAGAGTGTATAGCAATAATAACTACTTATAGCATTGAAAAGATCCTTGAGCTTCCTTTTCGTTTCATTTCGTTTCGTTTTGTACGTTTGTTAAATTAGCAATAAGAGTACGCTAGTATTAGTTGGATTTTTTTTTGCGTTTCGAATATAAAATTTATTTAATGAATAATTTTTTACAGTTAGAAAATATATAGTTTATATGATGTATCTATATATAGAGATATAGAAAAAGTATTTATGATAAAATTAATGAAGAATGTTGTGAAAAACAATTGAAATTTAAATAAAAAAGAATGTTTATGTGAAACTGATATTCTAGATTCTGTTTATTTTACAATGATTTTAGAATTGAAATTTTTTTTTCTATTTCCTTAGCATTATTTCATCATATGAATTCAGATGATGAAGGATTGTCATCATTGAAGAATCGAAAGATTATTATTTAGAAAGATTGAATACAAATTTGTTTTCTTATTTCTCTGTCATTACCTGTCAATTTTAATTCTATTTCATTGAACATAATATGATGATGATCATAGAATTACGAAATTTTATTTCTTCTTTAGAAATGTGATACACACAAATAAAATCTAATGAATCAAGTCTCAAGTTCACGATTTTTTCTTTATTTTGTCTCTTTTTAATTCTCTATTTAATTTTAGCAGAAATTGTTTCAACAACTTTATCAGACGTTTGCGTAAACATTTTTTTCCTCTTTATCTTTTTGAAAAAAATGTTTTCTTTTTTTTTGATTTCAAAAATTTGATTTAAGAAATTTCTTGTTGTTTTTGAAATGTGGATTTTTTTATGGAAAATGTATTCAAAAAAAAGAGCGAAAAAGACAATGATGTTGATTTCGAAATTTTCTTTTAAAAGTTTTCTCCTTTTTTTTATATTCATTACACATGGACCATCATCTTTTTTTTCATACTTGCTTGCTTTTGCTGTGAACAGACAGCTATTCCTTTTCTTTTCTTTTTTTTTTAAAGAAAATTCCCATTGTTGTAGTGTGTAGTCATTGAAAATTCCAAAATATTTTCATAAAACTTGTGTCAAAATATATTTTTCATTCAGTGTGATCGGTGTTACAGCAATATATGGATTGGATCGGATTGAAAAAAATACTGTTGTTTGTCTTGACGCCCTTGGTCGTATTTTGTATTTTTTGTTTTCGTTGCATTCAAATTCATTCATAATTCGATATCGCAATAGTCGTTTTTTTCTCTCTTTTTCTTTTTACTTATCAAAATCTCTATATGTTTATGCATAATATTAATATCGACAATAGACACAAACAATTGCAAGAAATAAAACTATCATGAACAAGGTGAAATATATGAATCGATGATCGAGAAATTAACAAAACAAACGCATGATAATGATTGCGGTATTGCTGTTGCTGCTGCATGGTTGTCAACAACGAAAAAAAAAGCGAATGAACGAATGCAAGGTCCTTCTTTTTTCAAACAATCTTTCCTTTTCATTTCATTTCATTTCATTTCATTCCATTCATTCATATTCAATTTTCATTATTCATCAGCGAAAAAAATCTATCATCATTTAAAAGTAAAAAAGGAATATTAATGCTAACAGCATTGATCATCTTTTGGTATTTTTCTTCAAAAAATAGTTGTAGTTTTTTTTATCGTTATCATTGACTTTAGATTAATTTTCAATTATAATAAAGAAATATAGAGGGGAAAAAATTTGGCAAAATTATTTGTGTTACATTCATCATGTATATCATTAGTTCGTTGATGGTATCATCGTCGGTGGTGGTGGTGTTGATGGTTGCTCAAAGTCGTAAAAGATTATTATGATTATTATGATGGGATCAATATACTGTTTGTAGGTCAAACTTTCATATATTGTACGTTAGAATATTGTCGTGTATGTGTGTGTTTATTGATATTCGCGGGCGTCATTTGTGTGATGATGTGTATGTGCGTGTTTATAATAGAATTCTTCAAGGATAAACATTTTTTTGTGTAAATTTTTGCTTGTTTGGTTGGTTGTCATCATTGTTATATTGAACGAGAAAAGAAATTGTTGACAAGAATGCAGGTTATATGATGATATTCTCAAGAATATTCTCGAAACTTATTTTGAAAAAAATTTTCCGGTTAATCTCACTGTTCAGTGTCCTTACCCATTGAATTTTGGAAAAAGTTTGCTTCACTGCCTAAATTCTGATCAATTTTTTTTCTGCTTTTTTTTCAATATTGATTATGAAATCTAATCAGTGTTTATTTTGGTAAGATTCAAGTATCGATTATAAATTTCAATTTTTTTATGAACATACAATAACAAAATTGAACAAGTCAATAATCATTATGGTGTGAGATTGTTTGTTTTTTAGTCTAGGTTCTAGAAACTAGGTCATAAAAATAAAGAGAAATTTTAAATATTTTTCCGGTTCTTGGTTACTATATCTAAATCATGTGATGCATCTGATGAATGATGTGTATCGGCTTTTTTATTTCAAGTGTGTTGCCGAGATTCTTTTCTTTTGTTTTAAAAATTAATTTTCCTATTGTTTTACATCAAATAAATGATTAAATAATTTAAATTTAATTTCTAATTAAAATTTTGTCTGTTTGTTTGTTTGTTTTCATTAGCTATTGACACATAAATGGCATGAATTACTAGTCCTATCAACATGTGCATTTTCAGCTATAAATAGTAATACAACATGTATTGAATCATTGGATATGGAAATACGACAATGTATGACAAATTTAGCTGGTAATCTATCACGATTAAATGCAACATCATCCGGTACTATTATATCATGTGCACAATTAGAAATGGAAGCCGGCGGTTTAGTATCCGAATTATGTGCCGTACGATTTGCATTCAAATCATTAGGATTAACATTGAATGAATTTGTTGCATTAAAAGTTATTGCAATGACCAGTATTGTTGCTAATAATAATAATGAAAATATTAATAATTCTGGATCTCGAAGTGATAATCAACAACAACAGCCAGATATTGCTGATCCAAATTCTGTATTAAAGATACGTGATCGTTATCTTAAAGCATTGGTTTCACATTTGATACATAAAAAACCACCACTTGGTTCTGGGCAATGTTCAACAGTTGCACAATTAGCATTAAATGGCATGGCTGGTGGTGGTAATGTTGGTGGAAATGGTAATGGAAATGGTTCATCAGCTGCATTTATATCATCATTAAATTCAGCAGCACAGACACATAATCTAACCAGTGCATTAGGACCAAATGCAGGTCATGTATTGGCACGAATGAATTCTTTATTGAATCTATTGGCACAAGTTAGTTCGGCTGCAAATCTACTATTACAATCGAAAATGTTTTATGTACCGTTCCTTATGAATTGCAGTAGTAACAATAATAATAATAATTTAAATAATAATAATTCATCGACAACAACAACAACTGGAACTATGAATAATCAGAATAATAATTCAATGATAAATGGCCATCATCATCATAATCATCATAATAATAATAATCATCACCATAATCATAATATTCCATATATTGCTATGCGACAACAACAACAACATTATGATGCTCATCATCATCATTCATCATTAAATCATAGATCACAAATTATAACTAATAATAATTCTATGAATCGATTTTCACCACCAACATCTTCATCTACATCGAATCAATCAAATAATAATAATACTTCAACAACAACATCATCATCATCATCATCGTTAACAAATGGTACAACGATAACTCCATCCACGCAACCACCACCAACAACAACACCTACACCTATTCTTGCATCGGGATCAGGTGTTGGTTCCAATTGAAAACAACAAATCTCATGAAAATAATTGCGATAAATTAATTGATTAAATGATAACAATACAAACGAGCAGCTACAAAACACTAAAGCAAAGTGGAATTTTTCTGAGACAAACAATTTCCATATATGCTTTCCCCATATTTTTATTTTTCATCAAATCAACAAAATCCCAATCCTTAAACGTGATTATCTGTATATAATATTCATACTTTACCTGATAAGTTCTTTTGCCTCTTCTTTCTCGTATATTATCGAATTACAAAAAAATTACATCCACCACACAAACAACTAAAATCTGATCTACACTGGAAACAAGACAGAAAAACCACCGGAAATCATCATTTTTTTCTCTCACCAATCGTGCTAACATAAAACTGCCCTTTAGCTTTTCTGCAATGAAAACCTAATTTGTTTTTTTTCTCATTATTTCTGTTTTCCACAACCACTTTAATCTATACGAGAAACTTTAAACTCAATGATAACACACACACACACACATTTGACATTTGTGCTAGTCTTTTTTTTGAATAAATCCTGGAAATCTTTCCGCAAAACTCTATGAAAAATGATAATTTTTAATTGAAAAATTTGGAGAATCTTTTTATGTATCTATCTTTTCCTTGATATATAATTCACACAAACACACACAATAACAAACATTCATTTTTCTTCAACACATTCTAACGTTCGTTTTATTTCAATTTTATTAAGTTTTTTCTGTTGTTGTTGTTTTATTTCCGTTTCCTTTCAATTTATTTTAATCAATACAAACAGACACACACCTAATCCGATTGGTTATAACGAACGATAAATAATGTAAAAAAACTGTTACAAAAATCTATATAAAACAACCCCAGAATCATGGTACAAATTTGATGTTTTTTTTTTCACTTACAAATTCTTGTTGTTGATTTTGTCAATTTTGTTGTTGTTAGTGTTGTTGTTGTATACCCACACACACACAAATTACATAGAAAAAAAGATTATTTGTAAGTAAAAAAAACGGCGGATTTATATTTGTTACTTTCACCGATCGTCAATCAATTAATTAATTATCAACAAATTTAAATATCCATCATTTTTTTTTTGATTATATAGCCTTTATACATTTATAAATATTTCATTTAATCATTCACAATGTTTGTACAGGTTTTTTTAAAAAAATAATAATAATTTACACATTTATTTGATTACAATTTCTCATTATCATTATATTTTACAATTACAAATTGATATCATGATTTTTTTAAAGAAGCAAAAAACAAAAAATCCTCTAATAACTGCCAAAACCGTTGATCGATCGTGGTTAAAATTCACCGACACTATATTTACCTAAATATTATTTGTGAAAAGCAGCAAAAACATCAACAACGACATTAATTAGCAAAAAAAAAAAAATAATAATTTAAATTGTAAAATCGAAATAACATTTACAACAGCAACAAACATTTTCTTTTCGTTATAAATATATATATTTTCTACATCATTTTCTCCATTTTTTTCATATTTTTTGGATCGATTTACAAAATAATTAATTTTCATTTCAATCAATGCATATTATCATTCTATTTTTATTTTTCCCTTCCTGAAATTCTTCTTCGTCTTCTTTTTGATGGAAAACAAAACAAAAATCTCAAAACTTTCTTTTTTGAAAATTGAAAATTTATTTAAATGTATATATCCAAAATCAATGATTTGTTAACAAATAGTTCTGGAAATTTTTTTCATTCGATGTTTTATGATATGCTTAAATTCTTTTTATTGCCTTCTTTACATTATTATCACAATTTTCTTTCTTTTTTTTCAAATTAAAATTATATAATTTTACAATGACCATACACCCACACACACACACACATGCTTTCATACAGACACAATTTATAATTTTCTTATTATAAGAACCATTTTTTTTTCTTTCCTTCTCTTGATTGATCGATTTTATATATATAAATATATAATAAATATTGAATAATAAATGATTATTTACTTTATTTCAACAATAACAAGTCCAAAATGATTTATTTAAAAAAATTTGTTTTTTCTCATATTTTCCAAATTTTAATGAATTATAAAACGTTTTGTGTATTGAAAAAAAATTTCGAGTATTTAAACAAAAGAATCTGCTTTGGCCGCCATCTATTGATCAAACTTCAAAAATAAAAAATCGAATGTTTGATGTTCGTTACTCGCGTGGATATAGCAGGATATGTGTTATCTTCATTTATTTTTGCCAAAGTTTTTTGTTTGTTTGTTTTTGCATATAAATTATCTGAAATTTTCACAGACGTACAGGATTTCCGTTCAAAATGATAATTGACAAATTTTGTGAACACAGATTCCCTTTAACAGAAGGGAAAACGATTAGTTCACTGGACCCTTGGACGTTTGAAGAAAACAAAGAAAAAGTGTTAACAATCATATATCTAAAATCTACTATAACGTTAATCAAATCATACCCATTTTTGAGCAGAAAAAAACACAAAAACAAAAATCGATGAGGTAAAAATCATCGAATGGATACATTATTCATCATTGATAATATCCCTCATTTTTCAAACGAGTTTTTTTTCTTCAGAAAAAAATGAAAATATTTCAAAGCCATATTCATTGATCATGGTAAGCAAGAGAAATCTTCTCTCTAAATATATTTGTTTTTACTTTCATCATTGGAAAAAACACCGATTCTCATTATCGTTCTTTAATGTGTTTGAAATGAAAAAAACACCATACTAAAACATTGATTCAAGGTCTTTTTGTTTTGATACATACATCTTTAGTAAAAACATACATTCATTCCTGCATTCTTGATGTTTCAATGTTCGTAAATCAGTTGCATATTTGTGTTTGTTTATGTGAATGTTCATCTGTGATATCCATTATCGATATTCATAAAAGTGATTTGTGAAACTGTTATTCGAAAAAATATTCCGAGAAATGAAATATTTTTCAACGATCAATAAGATACTCAAAGTTTCGAATAAATCTGATGTAAACATTCTGAAATCACTGTTTTATTATCAATCAACATTATAATATGGACAGTGAAAAAAACATCAAATATTCCAATGATGGATATGTTAAATCGTTTGAGTTTGAATTAGAAGAAAGAACCAGAAAAGATGATATATTATCGACACAGAACATATCATTGGCATGGCGAAATTTATCATACGAAGCAAGTGGTTGGTTTGGCAAAGGGAAGAAATCAATATTGAAACGTTTGAATGGCCATGTCACTTATGGCAGTATGAATGCATTTCTTGGGCCAAGTGGTGCTGGGAAGACCACAATGCTCAACTGCTTGAATGGAACATTGCGTAATGGTATCACATCGGACTCGGAAATTTATCTGAATCAGGCGGAACCAACTCAAACACCAATTATTCGTTTCGTTGAGCAACACATTCACGAAACTATCATCGCTCGAATGACTGTTCGAGAAATCCTGCATTATGCATTCCGTTTCAAGAATCCAATGAGTAAATGGAATCAAATGGATAAACATATACGGTCGGTATTAAGTGAACTTTTACTCGATGAAACTATATTGAATAATCATTTCGAAAAATGTTCCGGGGGTGAACAACGACGAATAGCAATTGCTCAAGAACTGATGTCGCTAGAGAAGCCAACATTTTTATTTGTTGATGAACCAACAACCGGACTTGATAGTAATGCCGCTGTATTGGTAATGGAATGTCTGAGAAAATTAGCTGATAATAGCCGATTGACCATTTTAGTATCGATTCATACACCAAATTCAGATATCATGAGCTTATTTGACAAAGTTTTCATTTTGGCCAAAGGTGGTGTTTGCATCTATTCAGGCCCTCCAGACAATTTGCGTGACAATTTGAAGCAAAAAATCAGTCATGAATTTGACACAGAAAAACCGCCAATCGAAGAATATTTAGAAATTGCTTGTGAAGGTTTGTACTTTTTGAAAAAATCTTTAATTATCAATTCTTTATTAAAATTGTAGGCATACAAAATGAATTCGTACGTAAATTGACTGATTCAACTTTATTGGAACAGCATGAAAAATTGGATGCATTTGTTGATGATTTACGATTTTTATCGAATGGTGTACAACAGCGACGAAAATGGTTTTCAATAGATGATCTCATTCTACAATTGTATCGTGTATTTCGAATAACATTCGTTGCCGAATACAAAAATTTTCTTATGCAATTTCCATTCTTTTTCTTTTTGATTACAATCATAACCGTATTGTTCGATCCAAATATGACACATGCCGAAACATGTTATTCATTCGAAGCTGATGATAGTGCATTCAATGTAACATGTCGTGATAAATTACATGCCGAATCATTAACATATGATTATAAAATGAATCAATGGTATTGGCTTAATCTGGTTGGTTTAGCTATATTATGTATGAGTAGTCTATTCTTCAATCCAATACTCAAAGTTTTTCGGAATGAACATCGTAATCGTAAGTTATTTTTGTTTTTATTTATTCTTGAAAATCGGTTTTCAGCGAAATTCTTCATAGAATGGTATAGTCTTGGTACATTCTATTGGGCATTTATGATTATTCGTTTCATCGAATTGACAATAATGGCCGGTTTTATTGGTTTAATCGCATATTTTGTCATTGATCATCTTTATGTGGATCATTATCAAATGAATTGGAATCGTTTGGGAAATTTTATCTATTTTATTTGGCTTACAAATTTTTATCAACAAAGTATTGGCTATTTTATTTGTCTATTATTGTTGGACAAAATTGAAGTATCTATTGTAACGTCATATATGATTGCTGTTAGTGAACAATTTTTTACCGGTTATATGTTCGATCCATATAAAATGAAAAATATGCCTTCAATATTTTTACGAATGTCCGAATTATTATCATTTAAAACTAGTCCTAATGGATTAATGTATACAATGTATGGATTGGATCGATGTCTGGATGAAAAACAAATCTCATTTGTACTCGATGATTTCGGTGTAAATGTTGATACAGTATATAGTGATTCATATCTGATGATCGTCAATATTATCATTTTTCGATCACTTATATTCATTATGATGGTTTATCATTTTAGCGGTATTAATCGATCCAAAAATTTTATCAAAGCATCAAAATCTGATGCTATTAAATGTATCGACTATGGAAATCTATCCGATCAGAAAGAAGAGATGATCGATTTGTCTAAAACTGTTAGAGTCAAAAAGGAAGATGAACTTGGATTTGAAGATTTTTCTCG